AACCCAGGAGGCTCTGGGATAGGACTCGGTAGACCCAATGAGGAATGAAGGCACAGGTAAGGGTGTTATAAGTGCCTCTGGGGTGAGCATGTGGAAGCAATGGGAGAGTGGAGCCTCCAGAGGAGGAGCATCAGGAGGCAGTCACCCTCTCCCCCTAGATGCTGGGGCTCAACACAAATGCTGGGAATGGTTGCTGCACAGAGGTTTAGAGACCCGAGGCTGATTACCTTGGGAAGCCAGGTCTGGGTGGCTCTAGTGGAAGTCACAAAACAAGTGTGGGTCACTTGGCCTGGGGTAGTGAGAAGGCATGAACTTGGGGACCTTTGCTGCCCAGGTCTGCGTCTGCCCCAGGTGAGGACTGTTGACAATCAGGGGGCCACGGGCTGCCAGCTGTGCCTCTGGATCCTGGGGATGGGTGGGACGACCAGCAGAGGGAGATTTCTCTTTACCCACCCTAATTGCTTCTCCAGAGAGGGAGGCAGACAAAGGTTGCTGTGACTTACCCACACTGTCCCCTGGGCAGACTACATAATGAGAGAGAAACTGTGTGGGGGTGGGGCTGGGGAGCTGGTAAGGCTGGGGAGAGGTGCTCAGCCTCTCTGAGGAAACCCAGTTCTGATGGGATGGCCAGACCACAGAATGTAGGAGTCAACTCAGTGGGAGTGGTGGGAGGCGGGTATGTGGGGTTTCTTCCAGGGGTTTGTTAAAATGCATATTCCTGAATCCCACCTCAGACACACTGAATCAGAGTTTTCTGAGTAGAACTGTCCATTTTAATGAAGCTCTCTAGGTGGAATCCCTGGTCTATGATTTCTTTGGAAATCTTTCAGGATGTGTCCCTTTCCAAGCTGCACTTGCCTGGCGAGTTTTGCAGAGGAAGATCAGGTTACTTCTCCCCTGAACACCTTAGAAGGGTCCTTCTGGACATATAGCCTGGGTCTCAGGTACAGACTCAGATGCATGGAATTGGGGAGCAGAAGGTGGGTGGGTGGGTGGGCCTGCAGGTGACATGAGCACAGGTCTGGGTGACAAGGGAGTGGACTTGCTGCTTGTCACCTTCCTCTGCAGGGCCTCTCTCAGCTCTGGGAAAGAGGAGTCTGAAGTGAGATATGGCATCTGGTCTCAGCATGGCCACTTACCCTGCTGTGTGATTTAGGCAATTCCCTTTTTCAGGTTTTCTCACCTGGAAAAAGGAAGTTGGACTAAATCAGTGATGAGCCACCTGACTGAACATTGTATACATCTGAGAGCTTGACAACATAGCAGTGCTAGAGCTCTAGCCAAGACTGATAAAGTCAGAATCTCTGGGCAAAGGACCTGGACATGGAGGTCTTTGGCTCCCAGCCACTGAAAGGCTGTCTTTTGAGCTGGAGCCCCTGATCCCCATCAGTTAGCCACAAGGATAGAAAGGAGAGTTTGGTTTCTTTTTACTATTGCTCACTTGTCTCTCCAACTTACTTCAAGGAGAAATCCCTAGATGGAAATGTTTGCATTACCACTGAGACTATAAGGACTTTGGCATCACTTTGAGTGATGAATGAATCAAGTTTGGAATCAGGGATTTGGACTAAGACTACAGGAATGCCAACATTTTCCCAAGGTGCTAAATGTCAGAGGCCTGAGCCAGGCTGTGCAATACGGTTGTTATAGAGAAGGGGTAGGGAGGAAGAGACACAAATATCCCCACTTTAGGTGATGGCCCTGAATTCTTTATCTCCAAGTCAGAAGAAAACACAGAGTTTTCCATTAACAGCGATTTTTTAAATGTAAAGGGCAGAAATATTTGGGAGCTTAAAGCAGATGAGGTTGTAACTAAAAGGAAAACCCCATGGAGAGATAACTTTCCAGTTTAACTCTTAGCTTTATGAAACCAGCTTATCTCTAGCTCCTGATATCTATATATACGCAGAACATTCCTAAGGACATAATGCAATCAGTTGAGCAAATCAATCCCATCTAATTTACTTTTCTAAGTCTTAACTATTTTGCAGTAAGTTCATCCAACAAAGTGTTGATCACCTTTAGTTGAGTTATTTATTTATAGGGTCTGAATCGAAATGAAGAAAGTATGATACAATGGAAAAAAGACAGGGACTTTAGACTCTGAAACATCTGTGTTTAAATCTTGGCTTTTCCCCTAACTAGCTGTGTGAGCTTAGAGAAGTTTTAAGCCTTCTCTGCGCTGGTTACCTCATTTGTGAAAAGGGGATGACAGTGTGGTCTTGCCTACTTCACAGACATGTTGGAAAGAATATACGGGGCCACATATGTCTAATATGGTAACCGACACATAATAGGCACTGAAAATGTAGCAATGCTAATGAAAATATTGATATTTTCCCAACATGAGAGTGTAACAAAGTTTCATATGCTATCTCATTTACTTCTTAACAATGCAGTGAGGAAAACATTACTTTCACAGATGTTGAAACTGAGGTGCCATCCCCGGGACTAGAGCCTATATAGGTCATAGAACTCCAAGTCCTGTGCTCCTTCCATTGCATTCTGGTGATTAGAGACAGACAATGACACTTCAATGAAGTTCCAGGTCAGTGAGTGCCAGGATGGCTGTCTCTCATTTGGGGAGGTCAGATTAGGAATCAGAAAGGTTGGAACATCTCTTAGGGGATGTCTGGGGACCTCAAGTCACAGCAAGAGGTGCATGATGTATGCGTCATGTCAACTAATAGCAACAAGTTCCAGACAACCTTGCATATCACCGTATTTAAACTAAGCTCACAATACAATCTGTTCCACTGAGGGCTCCTGGCTAGGACACCAGTGCATGTAGGTGTGTGTGTATGTATATATATTTCTAATGTAAAAACTTCAAAGAATCATCTTCACAGAAAATTTTACAACACATCAAATTTTATTAAGAATATCTCCAGCACTCAGAAGCAGAATAGATGACTACAGGTGTGAGGACACAGCCCATACCCAACATTCACTTATTTTTTTACTTATTTTTAAAAATTGTTTACTTTAGAGAGAGAAAGTGAGTGGGGAAGGAGCTGAGAGAGAGGGAGAGAGAATCGTAAACAGACTCCATGCTGCCAGCACAGAGCCTGATGCAGGGCTTGATCCCATGAACCATGAGATCATGACCTGAGCCAAAATCAAGAGTTGGATGCTCAACCTACTGAGCCACCCAGGCACCCCTTTTACTTATTTTTATTTTTTATTATTTTTGTTATTAATATTTACATTTAAACAACCAGGGGGAAGTTCCATTTTAGTAATTCTGAATACACAAAATGGTCCTGTATGAGTGGAACACTGATGAAAACCAGTCAAAGAAAGTCTGCCTCATCAGGCAGCTCCCAGCTCAGACAGGGCCCCATCCTAGGCTTGCTGTGGAAGGATACAAAGAAAGGGCATTTTTTAAATCTCAAAAATGATGAATAGAATGTTAAAAAAAAATTGTAAAGGGCACAAGTAAATCAATTTCTCAAAAAAAAAAAAAAAAAAAAAAAAAAAAAAGCTAGGATCCCAGTTGAAAATGGGTAAAAGGCATACACATAAAATTTATATGCAAATAGCTTTTTAATAAACATAGAAAACTCTTTAATCTCACTAGCAATCAAACACATCAAAAATAGTACCACATTCAAATCAGGTACAATTTTTTGCCCATAAAATTAGCAAAAGAGTTCTCATGTTGGGGCGCCTGGGTGGCGCAGTCGGTTGAGCGTCCGACTTCAGCCAGGTCACGATCTCGCGGTCCGTGAGTTCGAGCCCCGCGTCGGGCTCTGGGCTGATGGCTCAGAGCCTGGAGCCTGTTTCTGATTCTGTGTCTCCCTCTCTCTCTGCCCCTCCCCCGTTCATGCTCTGTCTCTCTCTGTCCCAAAAATAAATAAATGTTGAAAAAAAAAATTAAAAAAAAAAAAAGAGTTCTCATCTTTAATGGCTATACCAAACACTGATGAGTGAGTGGTGGGCCAGGTGATGTTTATTAGTACAGACCTTTAGAGAAGCAATTTGGCAGCAAGATATCAAACCCTCAAAAATGCTGGTAGTTTTGGCTAATTCCATGCCTGGGAATCTGTTCTAGAGAAATCATCCACAGTTCAGGAGGGAAAAGGTTAAGAAAAAACATGAAACCTATCTAAATGGTCCATGCTAGGGAAAGGAAATGGTGAAGTAGAGTATTTTATATTTGCATAATAAATTATTTAGGCATTAAAAATAGTTTTATGAAAAAATAGTTTTATTAAGATTTTGAGATAAATACAGGAAATTCTTATACTGTTAAGTCAAAAAAAAAAAGGAGCATATAATGATGAGCTCAATTATCAAATGGTTAGGAAAAAAAGGGGAAGGAGCCGTATCAAAATGCTAACATGAGTCAACTCTGAGTGATGGGACTGTGGGTGACTACTTTTCTTTCTTCCTGCTCTTTTTGTATTTTCTGTATTTTTCCATTACCAATATATATATTCATGAATATATATACATACGAATTAAGGAAATACACTTGGACTTTTGGGCTGAGAACAAACTTTGTCCAATGACCCTGAATTTATTCATTTTTTCCAAGTATTCACATCTGCAGAGTCGCCAAATACATTCAAGATTAGAAGAAAGCACCTCAAAGTCAAATGAGGTGAATGCCAAGAGAGGCCAAGGAGAAAAATAACTGGAGATCAATAGGCAAAAGAATGAGAGCAAAAAACAAACACATAAACAAAATACTCATGGAACATTTCCAGTCAGGTCCATCTTCTTGGACTCAAACAGGAAAATGGAAGAGTCCAGTGGCCCTCAGGTAACAGGGCAGGTCTGAGATAAGCCTTCTTCACAACGTGCATGGGATTGGCCAGGGAGGCCTTGGGAAGCTCCAGAATTTAGAACACAGGGACAGCTGGTACGACCATGTCCTTGGCAAGCCCTGATCATTCTCCATGATCTCTGTGCATCTGTAGGGGACCCAGCCATGCTCAGATTTGTAGACAAACTACTAATAAAAACAGACTTGTGACCACCTTGCAGCTGTATCTCTAGAAATCTAAGTCATCTCGGCCAAAGCCACCTGTCCTGTCCTTGGTGAGGTTTTTAGACCTCATTTCTGTGAAAGAGAGACTTTCAACTACATTCTCAGCTTCTAGGCCAGAGGCCTCACCTACCTCCTGCTCTGGAGTCCTTGGGCCCAAGGGTGCCACTTCTTGCTCAGAAGTGGAGCTTTCCAGATACATGCCTGTGACTTTTCTCTCTGGACTGGGGATTCCCTTGGACTCATCTTCGATGCTCCTCATGTCTCCATTCGAAGGCTTTTCTTCAGAGCCTTTCTGAGAGAGCTGAGAGCAATTTCCCAGAGAAAAGGTGCTAGAGGCGGCAAGGCCTGCTTTCCAGCCTGACCTTTGGCAGGGGGTGTCTCCATCTGGGGTAGGGAGCATTGCTGACTTCCCCTCTTGGTCTGGGCTGCTGTTTCCAGAAGTTTCACCTTGTTGGCCCTGTACCCAGACAACTTGTGAGCTACCTTCTTTCTCACCTTGATCTCCTCCCCCTGACTCTGGCTTCCTGTCTCCCTCTGTAGTTACAGCACCATCATTCTGTCCCTCTGGACTTTGGTCACCTTCTCCGCAGGCTTCACCTTCCAAACTGCCCTCAGCTCTAGAGCCCTTCTCTGTGTTTTCATCATTCTCACCAAAGCCCTGCTCCTCCCTGCCCACTCCCTCGAAGACACTGCCTTGCCCGGGATCTGTTTTCTCTTCTCCATTCTGAGCAACTTCACCCTCCTCTCCCACTTGGGGGTCTCCATCCCTGCCAAGGCTCTGGCTGCTCTCATCCTCACCCCCCTCCTCTGTCCCAGGATCCTGGCCTAACCCCAGCTCCAGGCCTCCATTGTCAATAGTCCCTATCCCTGAGGCGTCCCCCTGGAGAAGCTCCATCTCTCTCTTCTCTGGGACTGTCTCTGCTGCCTCCCCATTAGCACACCCTCCTTTCTTCTTTTGCAGAATGTGCTGCAGGTCAAAGGCCTTTTTGATGGGTGCACTGGTTACCCCCTTTGTGTCTTTCGGGGATGTAGGGATCACTTTCTTTCTCATGCAGGCCTCACAGGGACAAAACTCCTCCCCCTCAGGCTCCCCAACCAGCCAGGTCCCCAGGGCTCCATGGAGGGTTGGCACATCCTCCACAGGGAAGGACAGGAGCCCCTGGCTTCGAGCCTGCTCGGAGAAAGCCGAGAGGTTGCGCAGGTCCCGGAGACGACGCCTGCGCTGCTCTGTCTGCAGGGACATCTCCCACCTAAGGGCTTCCCTCGCTGGCCCTGGCATCCTCCCCACTGCCCGGCTCTGGATCTTGTGGAGTTCTTTCTCAGTGCTATCCTGGAGCCGCTGGCCCACGTCCTGCTGTAACTCTGCCACCATTTGGTCCAGAAGGTCATTGCTCTGCAGGCTCCAGCGGGCTCGGATCTCGGCTGTGGCTCTGGCAAGGTCAGCCATGAAGGCTTTCTCCATCCTCTTTAGCAACTTGGTCACCCAGAGGATGTCAGGGTCCAGGGACACTCTGCAGGCTGTAGAAGAGCTCTTCTCCCCAGGCCCCTGCAAGAACTTGGTCTGGGTTTGCTCAAGGCTTGTCTCAGTTGTTTGGGGTGGCTTCTCCAAGCCAGGCTCATTGTTGGGGCCACTCTGACTTTCGCTAGCATCTGGATCCCTCCTGCTGGGGCTCCTAGGGGCCTCTGGTGGTTTCTCTCTTGCCCCTGGAGGGCAAAGTGTGGTGGAGGCAGGGTCTCCTCCTGCTTCCTCTTCCTGCACACTCTTATCTTCCTGTGCACCTTCCCCATCGTCAGAGTCAGCCTCTGACAATTCTTGTTCCATAACTCTTCCCTCTTCTGGAGATTCTTGGACACCCTCTCCTGGCAGTTCTGCTATTTCTTTTTCTTCTTCAACTTTCTCTAGTTGTACCCCCTCTTCTTGCATTGCGTTTTCAACTACTTGATCCAGGTTACTGCCCAGCACCTGCTCCCCACTGTTTCTTTCTGCCTTGTCTTTCCTGGTGGCACAAGCCCATTCTTGGGAGTTTGAAGAGGCTGTAGAAACACTGGACTGTTGCTTTTCTGGATCCTCTTGGTTCTTGGAGGTTCTAGAATCAGGCCTCTGGGAGGGGATTTTCAAGGGCAGCTCTATCCTCTCAGGGACCAGGGCGCTGTCCATGGCACAGGGTCCACTGCCCTCCCCTGAGCCTCCAGAGCCACTGCCAACATCCACACCAGATGAGGACGTTGGTGTGAAGTCCTCAGTCATGACATGGGACCTGAGGCCTGGCAGAGCCTTGCACCAGCCAAGCTCCCAGAGGCCAGAATCCAGCTCGCCTTGCCTACAGACACACCCTGGCCACAGAGCCTGGAAGGTGCTCAGGAGCTCCTGGTACCGAGGAGACTCTGTGAACCTCACTTTGTCAGTAGGAGACCTAAGGTCTTCATCAAAGAAGTGGAGCCCAGCAAGACAGGTGATAAGGGCCCGGGCAGAGTGGCTAAGCCTCCTGCCCACTGCACTGGACACCTCAGGCAAGCTGCTGGGCCGGCCCTGCTTGGAGCCCATCAGCACCTTCATGATCTGTATGGAGGCAGAGACCTTGTGAGGAAGCACACACTGACCCACACCACAGTCCACAGCCATTCCTTTGCCTGATCCAGTCTCCCTGGGGACTTCTGAAACTCTGCTACAAGGATGGCCCTCTCCTGACTTGGAATGAGCATCACTAGTCACTGGGAGGGCTCCATCTGATTCTGCTTTCTCACTGGTGGCCCCTTCATGGAACAGTTGTCTGGCCAGAGCTGGCTCCCCTAGACCTTCCTGGGAATGTTTGTCAGCATTGTCCTCCTTGGGGCCTTCTGGATCACCCCCCACCACAACTGTACTCTCATCCACCATCTCACATTTCATGGGTATGGGCTCCTCCGGGATGTTGCTCAGCCATTCACGGACCACAGCATCTGGTGAGGCTCGGGGTAGGGCACCCAGCATCATTCTGCCATCTTCCTCTTGCTCCTCCAGGCTTTCCCCTCCACCAGCAACCTTCCCCTGTAACATTCTCCCAGACCTGGGACCACAGCTAGAGCTGCCCTTTCTCAAGGCTTTGACTGCTTTCCCCATGGCCCCTGACTGAGACCCCGGGGGCCGTGGGGGCCGTGCATCTAGCTTTTCCTCCTCCAGCTTTCTCCCATCTGGCCCCCAGTCAGCACCAAGGCTACTGCTGCCTGAAGGGTGTTTCTTGACAAAAGGCCATGTCCTCGGGGGGGTGGGACAGTACCTGCTGCATACCAAGGAGACCTCAGAGGAGGGCCCCTGGCTGCCTGATGTCTGGGAGGTCTGTAGGGTCTTAATGTTATCACTGGGGGTCTCATGGAACAGGGGTGTGCTGATTGGTGAGCAGCAGCAGTCTCGGTGGGCTCCTGGCATCCCTCCCTCAGGCTCTCCAACTGGTGGAACTAAAGGCCAGGAAAGCTTGGGAAGGTCATTCCCTGCTTTTTTGTCCAGGCCATCAGCTTGGATGCTCAAAGGGTCTGATGTGTTGGAAGGTGAGGGAGCTGGTGACCGTGCCCTGAGCTCAGAGTGACCTTCAGTCTCAGCAGAGGGAGAGTATGGGGGATAGAAATTGGAAGTACAGTCAGAATTGCTCACAGGGGTCATGAGAGCACTGCTAATCCCCTGTACCTCCTGGGAATGAAGAGAGGCAGAGGAGGGGGGCCCTGCGTCCCAGGAAGCCTTGTTCCTGGCAGTAGGTGAGCTTCCAGAAAGTTGTGGTGCTGGGTTATCTGGGCAGGCCCTGCCTCCACTAGAAGGCCCTGGCACTTGCCTGGGAACAGCTGAGTCAAGCGGGCAGTGGATGTCCCTTCGGTTGGGGTGCTGCCTGGGGTGGCCTATCCGGGCCCCTCGGCTGTGGCTGGAAATGCTGGGAGAGGACACAGCCCTGGATCTGCCCTTCTGCTTTCTTCTGCCTGGGACTGAGGCACAGGCAGAAGGCAGAGAACAGCTTTCTGCAGTGTCCCCAGAGCCAAATTGATCTGAAACCAGGGGCGATCCCATCCCAGACCTAACCCTAGCCTGGGGGCACCTGGAACCCTGTCTACTTTCCTCTGCCTGTGAGTCCTTGTTCCTCAAAGATGAGGGACTCACCGTGGGAGGACTGAGGCCTTTCCTCTGCGTGGCCTTTGGCCGGGAAGTAGTCATGACACTTGTCTTGCTTAGGCAGCCCTGGTGCTGCTCACCCATTTCACTGGACTCATGAGACCCAGCACTCCCTGAGGACTCACAAGTAGCACCTGCTGTGCCTCCACTCCGCTGCTTCAGGCATCTATGGTGCTCTCTGTCCTGCCCTGTTCCCTGTGGACCCGGGTCTTTACTAGTCCTGCACATGCTGCCAGCTTCCCTCCCTGCTTCTCTCTGGGAGGCAGCCCCAGAGGCCGCATGTAGGTCACAGCTGTCCATGCTGCCCTCCAGAGACCTAGAGCAGCAGGAGGAGTTGGGCTCAGAGTCTTTGGGGGGTCTGTCACTGGAGTCAGGGCTGACACTGTCTTTCCTGCTTCGTTTCCTTCCGGTGACCCCTTGGCTCCAGGGCCTCCTGGAATAGGAGTGTTGGGTCAACCTGGATCTCCTCTGAGAGGCCGTCCCCTCTTCCTGGGCAGAGTACAGGGGGTTCATCCATATCTCATATCTAGACCCTGGCTTCCACTGGCCTCGGCCAAGGGCTTTCTCACATCCTGCCTCACAGGTCCCTAGTCCTTGTGCTCCAGGTTCCGAGGAGCCCCCAGGGTGACTCTCACACACACAGTGGAGGGGATCCACCTCCCCCAGAACAGGGACCTCTCCATTGGCTCCCGTGAGGACACTGGCCCTCCCCACCCTCCTGGACCACAGAAGTGCATCCTCGCCAAGTAGGTGGAAACGGACTTTCATCTCTACAGACAGGCTGCCATCCTCATTCATGTGGACCTTTTTCTCAACATCATCACTGGCCACCAATGGGCCAAACTGGGTGGGCGTGTCCTGAGGATATCTTTCAGAAGGAGGGCCCATCTGGGCGTGATGCAGGGACACTGGGGGGTCACTGAGACCAGACCTCTCCGACAGCAAGGAAAACCGCCGTGGCCGACTGCCCGACCTGGACCTTGAGTGGATCACACTCTGCTTGGCCTTTGGCCCCCAGCTTCCTGGCACATAATAAAAATAAGAAAAAAGAGGAAAGACAGTGAGCTACTAGGGGGAGCTTCAGAGTAAGAGAATAAAGGCTGGTCATGAGGCTTTCATCACCTCAACACCCCTACCACCTCCCAAAACACAAAGTAAGGGCAGAAACCACTCTAGAATGAATATCCAGTCTGCAGTTTGTGAAACAGCAAAGCCTAGTGAGATGAAATTGAAGTCTGAATTCAATCTCAACTCTGCCACTTCCTTACTGTGTAGTTTTTGGCAGAGCCTCTTTACTGAGTTGTAAAATAAGAAAAACAGTAGGTTTGTTTTTGATGATGCAAGGCAGTGCCTGTAAAACTTTCTGTAGACGTTCTAGCACAAAGTAGGTTCTTGGTAGATAGCAGAGTTGGTAGGCAGAGCAGCAGTGCCCAGAGCTAATTCCTGGCCCTGCTCATGCCCACCCCCAACACAGAATGCAAAATCAATAAGCTGCTGCACAGGTGTCTGACTGGAAACTGTAAAATGCTTTTCAATTATTAAGGGTGATTTATCATCCTAACACTCATCAAGCTTTGGGGTTGATCCATGATTTCAAGGAAAGACCTGGACACACAATAGCAAGTCTTGATAGTCAACCCTGCACCCTAGCCTTGAAAAGAGAAAGAAAGGGAGCCACTGAGAGAAGAAAGAAGGGATACCAAAAAAGAATAAAGCCCTTAGTACTTTCTCATTTCATCTCTTGAACTAATGCATGGCAAAAGGAAAAGACTAGTGGGGGCTGAGGCTACAGCCAGCAAAAGAACAGATCTCCCCACTTGAGTCCATCTGGACGGAAGGTTTTTCCAAGCTTTCCTCTTCCATAAGCACCTAATGAGACTGAGGGCTCCTCCAAAGGGGAGGTCTGTGGCTAATAGGTCTTTGTACCTCTAGCACCTGGCATGCAGCGATCACCAAAATCATTATTGTCATTTCTTAACAGATTTTCACAATGGATATTATTTTGTTTATTCACCAAAGATCTCCTAATTCCTGTTTTCTTAAATACCAGACTCCTTTCTCCATACCCCAGTCAAATGTTCAGCCTGATTAAGGTTGATGATGATAATAAAGAAGAAAAGGCAAGAGTTACCCAAAAAAACTAGGATACTCCAAAATTGGGGCCAAAAGGCAGGTTTTTAAAATTATCTGGAAGGGATATCTTCCCAGTCCTACTGAACCACTATCCAGTGAAAAATTGAGGAAACGCCAAAACTAACTCACCAGTTTTATTTCTTGAAGTCTGCCCAGATAAAGTTTCAATCCCATATCTTCTGGAATCTTCTATTGCCAGAGGTTTGAAAGACTCATAACCAGCACATACTAGCACCGAGGGGCTGTGCAGCAGACCGTTCCAAGAGTCCACCTGAAGAAGGAGAGTGTTGAGTTTTAGGAAGCTTAGCTTGCAAAACCCACCTTCTTCCCGAGGAGACATAGGTACCGGAAAAATCCCCTCACACTGGACCTTTCCTGAGGTTTGCACATCTCACCCCAGAATTCTGATTCAAGGAAAGGATCCTATCCACTTGCCATAATACCTCCATAACTAGCTAGGGCCTGAGGTCCTACCACTATGACCTTCCTTTCTACCTACACCCTCTCCCTCCACCTCGAATGAGGCCTGTGGTTTAGGGACTATTCTGGATGTCTCAGGTGGGAAACACTTCAAGAAATCTTTGGCCCACTTCCCTGCTTGCCCTTGCACCCTCCAGAATACATATTTTTTTAAAACAACCAGAAGGTCCTACATCTTCCCTATGGAGATCTGATTTACTATCTCACTCTTTTCCCACACAGAGTTCTCTCCTGGGTCCTATCTGTGCTTTCCAATATAATCTTGAGGCCATTGCTTCTACCTTCAACCCTTCTGGAGTGGAAAAGGGCAAGGCTGTTCTCTCTACAGGTAGTCATTCTCTTCCAGGCTTCTCCATTGGTTTTCTAGGCTCCTGCCCAGAGGCTTGTGTCATCCTTTCCCTCCCACCCCAGGACATCCTGGGCTGGGTACCTATCAGGCAATATTGCATTCCAGGAAACAGGACCCTGCTTTTAGAAAAATCTCACGTGGGCCTGAGGCCCCTGCGTATGTGAGACGTTACACTATTTATGGCATTATATTGTAAGTAGCAGTGTTGGGGTATTTAGTTTCATCTTCAAAGGGCTGTATATGTTCTTTTTTATTTTCTCAAATTAGAAGGGTATGTTCATTAACAAGGAAATGGAAAAAAAAAAAAGACCTTTTGCATCCTGTCTCCACAAATGACATTAAATTAGCTGTACATCAGATCTTTCAACCTAGTTAATTAGAAGTTTGTTTCAAACTACTGGGTACATTTCTTGGTTGATTTGGAGCTCTAGTCAATCACAAAAATACAAACATGACCCAAGTCTATCAATTTATAGATGTAGTCATGTTTCTAGGAAATCAGACTTTTCTAAGGGGAAAAAAATAATTGAGGGCTAAATGATGCTCCCATTCTGGAAAGAGGTTGAGGTTTAGGATCCACACACACAAAAGGAGAGTTATTGAGAGTGTTAATCCAGTTGAGGACCTGAAAACTGAGTTATGACCCAAGCCTGTGCTGGGGAGATACAACATCCTTTTGTTAACAGAAACTCTAATAGTTCTGCAGTAATTCTATATGAAATTACACTAATATTTTTTTCTCTAACTAACTTATGTTTGTACCTCTCCCTCTCACCCTTCCCTCTAACCTGTTGCTAATTGAAAGCAGGGACCTAGACTTATTTCTCTGTGTACTCTGCATGTAGCTCATGCTAGTACATAGCAATGTGCCATAATTTAAAAGTTTTCTTACATGATAACTCTTAAATCATTAATGATGACTGTATCATTTGCCAGCCATGCAACCATGAGCAAACTACTTAGCCTCTGTGCCTCAGTTTTCTTACCCATGCAAATAAAAGAATGGCATTAACCTCCTCATGAGTTTGTACAGATGTCATGTCCTAAATTAGTCAATCTCTATTTTACTCTTTCTGCTATAATTTCCAGTACTGCAGAGCATACAAAGCTCCCTAGACTCCTTTGCAGCTATAATTCTAACCACGAAATAGTTTCCAACAATTAGATGCACTTGTACAAGGTATGGAAAATGACAATGTAGCAGAGGCCATCTTTCTTTTGATTTTGATTGTTGTCACAAGAAAAAAAAGTCAAAGGTACAAAGGAGCATGTGCAGCTGAGATGGCAAAAGTCACACTCATTGTTCCAGTACCTAGTCACCAGCTTTCTGGATACCAATAGACAGTAGTGGTATATCACCTGCCTGATTCTGGACCACAGCAGTGGTGAGCTGATACTGAACTCAATTATTCTAGTGACAGCCCCCCAAAAACCCACTTGCTTGATTGTGTGAGAGGTATCTACCCAGATAGGTCAATGATGTTCTCGGAACTAGTTCCAGAAATCAAATGTATGCTCCTGCAGCTTCCCAATCTTTAAACACAAAACTCTCTGTGTATAATTTCTTCGTGCTTACGATACCTACAGAGGTTTTTGTTTCCTGTACTGAATCATAGCTGATTAAAAGTGCAGTATCAGAGATTGTTACATGCAATAGACACTCAAGAATGGGAATCTAGGATTAGTTATCTGATTATCTGACATGATTGGGTTTAAAGGCAGTGATAATCTGGTTACAATGGGACACTGGTGGCCTATGGCACAAAGTGATAAAACAGATTCTTGAATGATCACCTCTGATAGTAGAATGTAGTGCTTACTGAAAGCAGGATTTTGACTATCCCTGGCTGCCTTGATAATGAGAGCTGAAAGGATTATACAGTAGGCTGACTTCTCTGACTTAAAGAAAATGGCAAGCTTAAGGTCTAAGCTCTCAGTTCTGGGATGGCCAGAGGACCTGGGTGCTTCTGCTACTACTATAAAAGACTCTTTTTCTCTTGTAGTCAAACATCAGATGCAGAAACTGATTCTGCTAGTTGTTGAAATACAAATGAAATGGTTGTTGTATGATCCATCAAGCCACAAAGCAGGTATGTCAAAGCAGCACTCCATCATCAGGTGGTGGTGACATGTACTATATCAGGCTCCAGATGTTTGCACTGAAGGCATATGTAAATTGCACTCTCAGTTCACGTGCTTCTGCTGCATTGCCATCTCTCCTCCCCACACACCTACAACTTCCTGGGGAAGTTCCCTATGACCAATTAACTGAAGATGAAAATATTTGATTCTGGCTTTCAGATGGTTTCACAGGGTATGCTGACACAAGTCAAAAATTGACCGCTGCAGCATGACAGACCCACCTAGGGGGGCATTAAGGGCAGTGGTGAAGGAAAGTACAAGGAACAATGTTGTTGATTGGCTACTTTTCATGGAAGGAGCAAGGGAAGGAGGTTCTATGGCAATTTATGGGCAGTGATTAGCAGTTCAATATGAGAATCAGGGACTTGGAAGGAGTAGGACTGGAGGGTTAGTGACAAGGAACTTTGGAGAGGAATCTGTGCCCAGAGAGAGAGAACATTTGTGTCCCATTGTATGCTCACCAGAAGGTTATAATCATGTGGACAAATGACCTGTACAATAGATGTTAGTCATTATCTTCCTCCAACCACCCCAAGTTGTGCTCAATTGGCTCAAACAAAGTGGCAAAGTAAACATGAACTAGAAACATAAACTACCTTATTCATGTGGATCTGACTGCCAACTCTGCTGAGGCTCCAATCTGCCAAGAACAGAGATCTATGCTAAACTTATGCCAAAATACTTGCAATTTGCAACATACCTTGAGGTATTCAGCCAGCCATCTCTTGTGAAGATAATGACATTGAATCCACCCCTCCCCCCTCCATGATGGAAATGTGTACTCATTGGAATAGACACTAATTGTGCTTATATATTTTCTTCCTTTCCAACATCCTTCTAGTGTCACCATCCTTGGGCTTACTAAATACCTTACTCATCATTGCCATAATCCATGAAGATTAGTTCTATCCAAAGAACTGATTTTATAGCAAAAAAAAGTGAGCCAATGCACTAACACACATTTAATTCACTGTGTAGACATATATACCATTGCCCCAAAGTAGCTATAACTTATAGAACAGTGGATCATTCTACGGGAGGCTCAGTTTGAGCACCAGCTGAAAGGTATCACTTTACGATGTTGAGGCATTGTCTTGCAGGATGTGATACGTGCTCTTGACTGGCAACCAATATACAGTATAGTGCTGTTTCTCCATAGGCAACAGATGCCTGGGAATTAAAGGTGAGAATGAGAGCAGTTCCTCTCACTTACACCTATGACCTAACTGAAAATATTTTGTTTCCCATCCCAACAACTTCAGGCTCTGCTAGTTCGGAAGTCCCTGGATCTAGGGGGAAATGTTCCAACCAGGAGACACAACAGTGGGTCAGTGAAGTTGAAAGTTGAGACAGCGCAGTTGAACGTTTAAAGGATCCCTTACCTGGCCATATGGTGATTCTTGCAACAATGAACCACAAGGCAACAAGGGGGTTTCTGTATTGAATGGGATGATTGATTCTGATTATCAAGGGGAAATAGGGCTGCTGTAATGCAATAGGATCGGGGAAAAGTCATCTATTGCTCAGGGAATTCCTTGGGTGCTTTCTGTAGCTGTCATATTCAGTGGTAAAAGTTAACCCAGAAGCTCATGAAGAACCTCCAAGGGCTCAGAGTCCACAGGAAAGATACAGCACATGCTAGCAAATAGTAAATGCACCATAATTTAGATTGTAGAAATGGTTCAGTCACTCTACCACATCCATAACCACATTAAGCTGAGGTGCTGGCAGAGGTCAGAGGGAACACACAAAATGGACAGTAGAAGGAAACCTAATACCATCAATGGCCTTGCAGTAGATAACCTGGTTTACTTCACAGCTTTGGTAGGTGTGAAACAATTTTCTATGTTTTGCCTTTGCCTCCATCTGGCACTTTATACAAGGTATTTTGGTGGTTGTGGACTTGATAGCTAAATCTTAACACAGAGGCTACAAGGTGGGCTTGTGCCCAGAGGATGGATGGTACAGTTCTAATGTGACCCTGATGTGACTCGGAGTTGGGGAGGAAGTGCATATGTTCTGACTGTAGGAAGGACAGCTACATTCTTAGGTAAGAACCTGCTGCTGTAGATGCTGCTTATAAATTTAAGTAGTGGTAGAGTAGTATATACAGGTGTTAAATAGTGATAGGAGTGGATTATGGGGAGACTGTGGATTAGATCAATCCACCTCCTTCCCCTATCACGCCCACCTACAGTGCACATTTATGTTCTGCAAAATCTGGAAAGGCAAAAATTACATTCACTAGCCTTCTTTAGAGTTAGGACTGTATGAAGATTGGGTTCTCCATCAATTAGACGTACTTGATCAAGTCTGGGAAAGCAAGTGAGACAGACACTATCTCTTCTTGATTCTTGTTGTTGTTGTTGCAAAGCAAATGTGTGGGTACCAGAGAGCTACAGTAGCCCAGACAGCAGTGTCTAGACTCGGCACCCCAGTGTTCCTGCATGTCAATAATGTCAACATGCAGCTGTGGCAGTTTCCTGATCCCAGCTTTACAAACTTGGCTGCCACTGCAGAGAAGTACTCTTCAATTCAATAATCACAGTAGCTTCAAGCAGGGTAGTAGCTTCCTGCAGACCAGCTCAGAGCTCATGCCTCCAATTGTTCAAAGATTTGGAAATCCCCTGATGCCCTGTATTAGATTGCTTTCTGCTAAAGGTACTTTGAGTAGTTTTCATGTTTTGCACTGAATTCTCACCGAAATAGGTGGGATTGGATAACAGAAGGATTGGATGAGGAAATAATAAAAATGTGCAAGGCGTGGTGTCTGGCACTTACTAAGTGCTCACTAAATGGTAGCCAGAATATAAATAATAATTGCTTGTTTAACTGACTGCATGTTTCTATTCACCTTTAATTAATAGCAGGGCAATCTGTGCTTCATTTTAAGGGATAACTTCCCGATTCCATCAAAGTATTTCGATCTGAGGGCCAAAGAACTTTTTAGAGGAAATATCATACCCAGACAGCCTACCTTTTCTCCACTGGTCGTATACACCTGTTTCACAGGAAAGTGCAGAAGATCTGAGGCTTTGCTGAGAAAGGCCGTCAGGTTCCTTGTATTTCTGTGACTGAGAACCACTGTCTTCTGGAACCTAGGGTCCCCATTCTTAATCAGCATTATCCTCCTTGGGACCTTAGGACCCTTGCAGGAAGAGGATGTTCCTGGCGCCTCACCCCAGCTTTCAAATTCCCTTGACTGCTGAGCAGATGAGGTTCCCCCTTGTGGCCAGCCTGGTCCACTGGGTGTTTTGGGGGGCTTCTTATCAGAGCAGAGGTAGCAGCCACCATCTTCCAGCTGTTCCAGGGCACTGAGGCCATGCAGGCCCCGGGGCGTAGTGACAGAGCGCACCCCAAAGGAGAGAGGCATGCGCTGAGAGAGCTCATCCATCAGAGCACCGAAGCTCTTGAAAGCGCGCTGGTCAACAGCCAAGCGAACGCCAGCAAACCGGGGATCCCCTCTCTTGAGGAAGGTTATCTTCTTGGCTGGTGTGATCTGGGTGACAGAGGGAGTCCGGGCCACAGAAGGCAGTAGGCACTCCCGGTGGCTCGGGGCCTGGGCATCTCTCAGGGTGCTGTTCATGGCGTGGAGGTCCAGGCAGCTGAAAGGGATTAGAGGAAGAGGAGAGTCAGAGAGAAACCTGCGAGAGTTTGCATTTCTCTCTCCTTTTTAGGGAGGCGCCTCCTGGCCATCCCAAATTTGTTCCACTCGGCTACATAGAAGCTGGTTAACCCATTTTGACAGGAATAGAAGGAAGGCCAAAGGTTTGGCACCAGACAGATACAAATTCAAATCCCAACTCCCCACTTAATACCCAGGAGGTTAATGACATAATCTTCATCTTGGTGGATCTCACCTCTAAGATGCAGCCATGTTCACTCTGCATAGTGACTATAATGATTAACTGAGTTTACACATACAGAACACCTGGCATAGAGTAAGCATCAATAAATTCTTCTTCCTTTCCTTCCTCTTGCTGTTTCTCTTACCCTCTTCTACCACCTTGAACTCCTTTAATACTTTAGAGCTTGTCTCCTAAAGAGGTGGGTAAATAAAGAGAAGACCATATAACACAGGCATAAGAACATGGGACAGGCATTCAGGAGACTTGGGTACCTTGCCTGCTCTCTCAGTGCAAGGTTTTGTGTGTAACCCTGGAGGGATTCCCAGCAATCTGGATTCACATCTTCTAGGTACCAGGTGAGCAGAATCCCTTGGTCACAAACCACTCGGAGATGGGAGGGTAGACGAGGAGACTTGTAGCCCAAAGAGGATGCCACCGTGTCTTTTCTTTATTATATGGTAATGTTTGCATTAATGTAAAAAGAATGTCCCCCTCCTTGCATCCCTCCAAAGTCTTTGGAAGATGTGTAATAAACCCTATGGGAGAATACCCCAGCCCACTTCCATCGATGTGGAAGATTGGTGGCTTAGCCTAGCTTTGATAGGATCAAGCCCATTTGTCAAACTGTTCATTTCTATTCCCACCTCAGGGGAACCCTCATTGTCTTGCCCTGGACCCTTGGAAAAGCCTCCCACAGGCTCTTCCTGTCCAGATCACCCTGCTCTGTTCTGTGCACCTACCGGTCAAGTTGTCCTAAAACCTAGTTTTTACCTAGACATTTCCTATGCTCCAAATCCTTCAATTGATTCCCCAGGGTCTGAAAAAGAAGTTTGGGCCATTTACCCCCACAATTAAAGGGCGTCTCAGGCTTGCTTCTGGCTGCCCCTTGAGCCTCAGCTCCTGTTTATTTCCTGCAGGAATTCTCCACTCCCATCAGGCTGCCTGGCTCAGAGGCTCTCCCTGCATGGCAGCCCCTATCCTTCTGCACCCTGCCTTGGCTTACCTCCTTTGTGGAGCCTGCACCAGATCCCTAGTCCGGGGCAACCTCCGTTTTCAGTATATCTCCCCCCGATATTTCCAATATTCTGGGCCTGTATCCCTTCTGGCCAAGTACCCCAAGCCTGGGAAGCAAATCTGTACTGCCCAGGGCTCCAAGCCCCATGCTTGACACAGATCAGAGGCCCAGGAAATACAAACCAATTAATAACACCCATATTTCACAGAACTCATAACAACGCTCAATCCTGTCAGTAAACTGATACTTGATGAATCATGACCAAGTGAGGAGTCTTCCCTGCTTCCACGTGGTTCAGACCATAGCAGGATCCTCATAAATGTGCACACAGCAAGTAAACATGATCTTCCCTGCTGCAGCCATTAATCCTACTTACGGCTCAGTGGTGCCCGCATCTCCCTTTCTTACCTTTACTCTCTATCCGCATTCATCTTAGGGAAAGAACTCTTCTCTCATTTTCAAAATCTTGGAACACAAAGGGGCCTTTTAATCCACTCTCATCTCTGGTACAAACTTTGTAATTAGGTTCTTCAAACTCCTCCCTCCCAGCTAATCCCTTTAAGCTGCTTTCTTAGGCCTCCCACTAACATCCCTGCAGTGGTCATAAGCTGTTACCCAGGCATGTCTTCCTGCCGGACTAACTTTTCTTCCTACTTGATTTCCATTTTCGCTTATGATAATGCACATCCTTCTTGGCCCTTATGAAGGGACTGAGAGAGGGGCAAGGAGGGTCACCGTGTCCCCCAGCATCACCATGTCCCCAAGGTCAGTGTTCGCTGTCACTGCATTCTTCAATGTCACCACGTCCCCCAGCATTGCCACGTTCCCCAACATTCTGCTGCCTCCAAGGGCTTTTCTGCTTCTTGCAGCCTATTTCTGGGCAGAGAGAGCCTCTCTGGAAACCTCTGAGACAGCAACTCTGCAGTGAAGAGGGGAGCCTTCAAGCAGAACCTGGCCTGCAGCACAGGCAAAGACCCTTCTGTCATTCCTTGAGGACCCAGGCAAAAGCTTAACATTGCAACATATGCTCAAGTGGCTGACTGCCCCTTTCTTCTGGCATTCTTCTAGAAAATAACATCTTTTTGAGTTAGAATTCTCAATATCCAACTGGGTTTTTGAAATAAAAAGAGAAATGGATCCTAAGTACCGAAGATCAGGCTAGCAGCAGTCACAGTTCACCATGAAGGCTCCTTCCCAGCATGAGACCAAGCGCACATGAGACCAAGAAGCTGAGGGAACTTACTGGTCATCCCCTGCTGAATGTACCTGCACTCATATAACTGGCAAGATGCTGCATATACATAAACACACACACACAGAGACGTACACACACATGTGCATGCACACATATACAGGCACACGTTAGAAAAAAAAATTTAGGACCCAGGAGAATGAGCTGAAGGACCCAGGGTGGCCTAGATATGTGGACTATGAAAGGTGAGGGCATATATGACTCACACTGCTCCTCGCAGGAAGGTGAGGCAACTGCTTGCTTTCCAGCCTCATTGATTGAAACAAACAGGTTCAACTTCATCTCTTGGCAAGTCTCTGAGAAGCATGACCTTCTCTTGCAGCTACGGGGAAGGGAGAAGCAAATCGATTTTCCTTTTCAAGGAGGCTTAATGAACTTTTGATTCATTCACCTTCAAAACAACCTGGCCATACCAGGTTATTCATTCATTCAACCACCCATTCCTTCACTCATATGTGTACCCATCAAAGATTTCTGAGCATCTAGTGGGTACCAGGGTCCATGTTGGGTCCTGGAAATATGAAGATTGCAGTGACATTTCATGAACCTTCAAAAAGTTCACATTTTAGTGTGACAAGCAAGGACATCATTAAAATGTAACATAAAAAATGTTCTGAGATATATAGATATAGATATATTATACACAGGGTGTGACCAAAAGCAGATTAAGAGGAACAGCAAATCAGGGAAGACTTCCTGACAGAGGTGACATGCAGCTTCCTGAGTTGAGACCTAAAGGACAATTTAAGGATTAACCAGAGAAGGAAGAAGTTAGGACCAGCATGACAAATAGATATGGCCTTGGTGCCAATTCTGAACAACCAGGTGGGCAGGTGGAAGGACTGGAGGAAAGGTGTCCAGGCTTTCTGTGTGTTGCAATCAGCTAGCAATGTTGCCATAGCATCAAGGCAGAGATGGGCCAGAGAAGTACCAGACACTTGCCGTCCCTGCTCTGCTCAGGGCATTTGGGATGGGGGAGTATGTGCAAAGTTGCAGCAGAGGGAGAAAGCTTGGGCGTTCGAGAAGAGCCTTCAAGGATGTCATCCTAATATTTTAGAAAGACCCCTCTGGCAACAGTAGGGAGAATGGGGCCTGGGAGAGCAGGACGGTAATTGGTGAGTGAAGGTCAATTGCTGTGGACTGATCCCGCAGAGGCTGAGAAGGCACCAGAGGGACTGGTGACCAACAGGCGGGCTGTGGAGGGCGCTGCAAGGGAGGACGAGGTCCTGCGTGGCTCTCGGGGTTCAGGCTCAGGGACTTGAGTGGGAGGTGGCACTGTCTACTCATCCAGCGAGGTTGCAGAGGGAAGAGCAGTTTTGGAGGAAGGGGTGAGGGGGCGGTGGGAAGGGTCATCCTCTGGGCGGGAGCAGGTGCACCGCCCAGAGTGCATCTGACATGGCTTTATTTAGGGAGCCGGTGGATGCCCCGTGAGGATAAAGCGGCTCAGACACAGCTCTGGCACCAGGTACCTCAACAGCAGAACCCAAAGTCCCCCTCCACTGAAGCTTAAGAGGCCAAAAGTGGCAAAAGCAAACTCGGGTTCCCTACGTTAGATCTAAGAACAGGTAAGTGAAGAAAAGGAGGACAGTATCCCAGTCTGGCAAAAATAGTGGGGAAATAAGAAGCAGATGTCGTTGCAGGCCAAGGTGACCAACTGTTCCAGCTTACCGGGGACATCTTGCCTAGTTTTATTTATTTATTTTTTTTAATGTTTTATTTCGAGAGTGAGAGCAAACGAGCAGAGGAGGTGCAAACCCTGACCATTCAGAATCCCGTAATAAATACATCCCATGCAACATTCTGCCAACACCATCCCCTAAAAAGAGGGAAATCCCACAGGGTTTTTTTTTTTTTCTTCCCATGCTGTTCTTTCTACTTGAAATGCTTTTCATCTATATTTACCAAGTTAAATGTCATTTACTTTTTAATATTTTTTTAAGTTTATTCATTCATTGTGAGAGGGGGGACAGGCAGAGAGAGAGAGAGAGAGAGAGAATCCCAAGCAAGCTCCACACTGAAGAGCTTGACATGGGGTTCAAACCCACGAACCATGAGATAATGACCTGAGCCCATGCTTAACCAACCGACTTAACCAACACCCTGGGATTGTCTTGGTTTTAACATTGAACCTGCCCCCTCAAATGCTGGGACCCATTTGCCACCCCCTGTCCCCCAGCTAACCGGATAGTTGGTCACCTTCAGTGTGGGGCCTGTGCGGTTTCCCAGGAGCAGGTGGCCTCTTCCTGGCACTGGCCCTGTGTCAGTGAGGCCTCGATAATCTGGTCTTGCCATGAGTCGACTGGTGGAGCTGGTTGAGCCCCTGGATTCAGCAGGGCCTAAAACCAGAACCCAAACTGGAAAGCCAGACTCTTTAGTTATGTGAGCCAACCATTCTCTCCTGAGCTGAGGTTTCTGTCATTTGAAATAGAAAGGGACTTGGACCCACCAGGGAGCAGGACCAGTGAGTATCC